CCATCAGTGCTGGGATGGATGTGGTGGCTGTGGCCAATCTGCTCATCACCATTTGTTTTGTCCTGATGCTTGTAAGTATACTAGGGGGTGTGTGCTCCTTTGGTGGAGGGGAGGGAAGAGGTGAGACCAGCTAAGAGGACTGAGTTGAGCTTTTCCTAGGCGGGCTAAAATACCCATGGTCCAATGGCATGTCAGCTCCATGCTTATGATTTTATTATCACTGTAGTCAAAGATATACTTCTGCCAGCTTGTAGTCTAAGGGTTGGGTGCAATTCAGTATTGTGATGCCACCAGAGATTTCCAAACAGTGTGCCCCAAACATGTGTTGCTTTTTGTAAAATTAAATTGTCCTTACAAAGATTGATGTAAAAAAATCTTGCATTTCCAGTATAAGAAATCTAACTGATCAACTAAATCATTTAAATGGAAAAAAGCTTTGAAATAAACTTTAGATCTGTTGATTTTTTGCATTATTTTTTGCTACCCAAGTGGTACAAAAGGCACAAAACCTCTCTTTTTTTTGTAATTCAATATTACCTTGGGGTTCAAGAAATTACTTCAATACTCTTCCCTGAGGATTTTTTTAAGAAAGAGAACAAGAGAGAGAGAAAGAAATTTTGACTACTTGAAGATGAGAGCTATGAGTTCTTTTTGAAAAAGGTGATGCTGGTGCTGAAACGTCTTGACTGTGAAACCTACCAAGTTACATATTTCTTGTTAGATGATTCCTTGTCACTGTCTGTGTACATACTCTGAGCCACAGTATCTCCCTTATACTTTGATTTGCAATTAATCTGCTTTTGCAATAAGCCAAGTGCACTGCTTTAACTGCTCACTGTGGGTGAGAAGTGTGCATGTGTAGTGAAGGGCATGATGTACATTGAGTTAGGTCATAGTGTATAAGGAGTGACACATGCATGTCCTGAAAGTCAGCGGGGTAAGCACAAGATCACTTGTGATGAAGCAGAGGCTGAAGTATCATGTTTACCTATGAAGACCACTTGTGATAAGAAGTAAAAGCAAATATTTTGCCAGATGAGAGAAAGCATGGATAAAAGATGTAGGACAGAGGATAAAAGATGTAAGACTGAAATAATAACAGCTCATAAGGCTCCCTGTTTTTCTCCTTTTTGATTCTCCACTTTCTCATCTCTCCAGTCTCTCATCTCTTTCTTATTTCTCTTCTCTTCTTTACCCTCTGCCTAGCTCTACCATAGGATAGTCCTCCTGGGTAAGAAGTTGTGATCATGCTTTTTAGCTCACATGTGGGTGTAGAAAACCTTCCTGACCTCTTTGCAAGCAGTTCAGCTGGAGTACTCGGGTGTGCTGTCGGGCCAGTGGCATGGGAGTGCTGCAAGGCTCCAACTCATGTCTGTGGGTACAGGGATGACAGCAGTAGTAGGTCCATCAATCCCAGTGCACCTCTGCTGGGAGCTGCAGCATCTGTGCAGGAATGGTATTATTTGCAATAAACAGTTTGTGACTCATCAATCTCCTGTGTTCTATTTCAGATCTTTTCTGGCCTCTTAGTGAACCTCCCTTCAGTAATGGGCTGGCTGAACTGGCTCAAGTACTTCAGCATCCCCCGATATGGCCTTACTGTGAGTAGAAAGTAGCATTGGTCTCCTTTGAGTAATGTAGCCACACTGCTGCTTCCTGGAAAGGTTTTGAGTATAAAGTTTGAAATTCTCTTAAAAGCCAGATTTGGTTTGTTTCATTGCATGAACATGGTAAAAAAAAAAAAAAATAAACCAGCCAGCCTCAAAAAGGAAGCGAAATTTAGAACTCTGTGTGAGAGCTGGAAGTCTCAGGGACTGAACAAACATTTTGTGTTACAGAATTAGTGCTGCTTGGACAGCTGCAGAGCAAGCTGTCCAGTCAGGCACTAATTCCTAGCCTGAGTAGTTGATCCTTGTGGTTTAGAATAAAATCAAATATTGTCCAGCCTCTCCAGACACTACTGCATGGGTGGCCAGCTGGGGCCAATGACTTTCCAACTGGTTAAGGGATTTGCTATAGTGCACGAGTGTCTCAGTCTTCAGAGTGGCTTCCTCTGAAATGAAATTTGACTTTTCTGAATAGCAAGGAGCCTGCGGTACCAGAAATCTAAGGGTGCAGCTGCTTGAAACAGAAAATAGAGCAGGTCACAGGTGGAGTTGTTTCCATCTCCTGTTTGCATCTTTGCCAAGCCTCTTTGGAAGGAATAGTGTCCTACTTCAAGTAACAATGACTGAAATGAATGCTGGAGCTGGTGCAGGGTGGGAGATGCGTGAGACCTCATTGCTTGGGTATCACTGAGATGGTTTATCAGTGTTACTCAATGTAGAAGAGTCCTCTGAGATAGCAGTGAGTGCAGAATGCCAGTGTTGGGGAACCTTTCACCTCTTGCTTTGGCTGACTTTGCCATGCCTTCAGTGTGGTGGTGCTGGGGTATCTCCATGCAGCCACATGATTTTTTGGAACAGTAGATTGACCCAGGTGAATGTGGATGAACAGAAACTTGTAGCTGGCAAGACAGAAACCCGTGGCTGAGTAACTTTGAAGCCAAGGCCTGGGACATTGAACCACCCTGCATGTAGAAGTTGGAGCAGTTGCTAAGAAAAGCAGTGTCTAAGAGCTTGAAAATAAAAAGGAACGTGAACATATGATTCCAAGAATGGTGGTATGTGTATTCTAATAATCAAGTTCCTTTGAAGTGTTTCAGTTTTAACAGCCCAAACCATGAACTCTGCAAAAATCTTGTGTCTTCCTCTTTCCCCAGGCCCTTCAGGTAAATGAGTATAGAGATCTCTACTTCTGTGGTGAGAAGAATCCAAATACTACAGTGTTAGTGGGAGACACAGGCAGTTGTCCCCCCAATATTTCAGAAGAAATGTAAGTAACTCAGGATGGTTCTGGGCCTGAATAGTGATTACTTGAAGGGAAGTCTGACTGTGTCAAATTTTTATATATTATTATACTATTTTCAGAATAACCACTTACAAGCCAGTCTCAACATGTCCCAAAGTAATGTATTTTAGGATTATACAGTAAAACTCCACAATTACCCAAGAGCAAAGTAGGGATGAAACTTTACTTGTAAAAATAGACAGATTAGCTAAATTAAGTTTTGTATTTCATAACTTAGCCTGATTGATCAGTTTTCCTAAACAAATCCAGAGTCACTTAACAATGGAAATGCAGTGTGTGGACAGCTACAGAGTTGCTAGAAAGCAGTAGACCTGTGATCAGAAACATGCCTCCCCCACAGAACTTATAAATATTAACCTCCCTGCAGATCCAGAGAAAGGTGTCTCTCTCACAGTGCTTCATTTTGCCCCATTTGAAATACTCTTGGCTATTGATACCTTAAGCTGTAGCAGTGCAACTATTTCATGATTCGTACTAGAAAACTGGCAAGCTGAATATTTTGCAGGGAGCAGTGCTAGAGTACTGTTTCCATGGCTTTTGGACTTCCAGTGATTGTTGAGGGGAAGCTAATGCTTCTGTACTTACCATGGTTTAAGATGGTTCTGAGGTTTCCTCATAAATTGCCAGTTATTTATAAAGAACAGTTAGGTTGCTACTGAAAAATTATGAGAACTAGAGAGCTATATTTGTCCCTTGAGTTTTATTTGGTGATGGATTGTCTATTTCTATCACCTGTTTTGCAGAGTTGAGGGTAGAAGGATCTTTGAGAAATAATAATAATTAACTGAAGATGTGTGCTACATAGTAATATTAACTTCTGCCCTGTGCTTTTCTGCAGGTGCTCTGGTGAAGCATACCTGTGCAGCCAAGGAATTGCCCCTACCAGCTGGGCAATGTGGGAAAACATAGTGGCTCTCTTCTGCATGACTGTCATCTTCCTTATCATTGCCTATGCAAAACTCCGGTTCATGAGGAAGTTCACATAGACTCCTGTGTTGCCTTGCCCTGCAGCTTCTCAGATGTTAAAACTGCAGAGCTTGTTAGGGCCTGCTGGCGAGTGCCAAAATGTTTCAGCTGACTTTACTGGACTTCAGATGAGAGACCTATTCCCCTGTTTCTGGAGCATGATCTCCACAGGACTGTGGGTTTTAAGAAGAAATGCATTAATGTACATTGCGTAAGTGATTTTTTCCCAAGAAAATACAATTCTCATAATTCCTTAGGTACATATCAAACTTTCTATTGTAAACCATTATTATTCCGTGGCCAGCTTATACACAAAATATTCCATTGGACATGTGAGCTTCTCCATCACAAAAGGTGGAAGGTGGTGGTGGCATTTATACAATGATATGTTGTCCCTTGTTAGTGCTTGTAACATATGAGGAAAGACAGAGACCATTCACAATGTGTTGGAGATGCATTTGAGTTTGAAGTCAGTAGAGACCAAGCACTCATTACCAGGAAAGAACAGTTGTACTTGTAGTAGCTTCTAAGAGGAAGCTACTTCCAGAAACAACTTTAGTTTAATAAATAGCAGTGGTGTTAGACATCTCACCTAAGAAGAGAAATATGTACTGTTGTACTGCAGGAAAAGAGAAACCAAAAAACCTCCCCTCCCTACCACGAACAGCAAGAAATATATTTACTACTTTAAAGGATGAGAGGGAATGCCCTTTTTCTTTATTACTTTCTAAATAAAAATTTGTATACTTACTACTGGCAGAAGTTTTTAACAACAGACTCAGTTCTTAGCTACACTATCTGTATATAGTGCTACTTATACTATGGACTGAAAAAAACCTATGTAGCTACGGCTGTGGCAACTACAGCAACGTGTGCCACAGTCCCCACAGTATCCCCAAGTACCGGCTATCCTGCCGATACTGGTCTCCTGGCCACCTCATCAGCAGCACAAGAGATGCTTTTAAATCGCATGAAGACCTGCAGATGTAAACGGATCAGCTAAGCCAAAGGAAAACATCCTCAAACACAGGACTGGAGAGTTTGCCTGTGAGGGTCGGGCTGGCCGCAGCCTCTGAGCCGGGCGTGCGGTGTGAGAGTCCTGCCGGTGCTCCTGCAATGAGCGCTCCGGTTGCGGTGGGAAGAGGGAAGTGAGCGCACTGACAGCGCAGCCGCATCGAGCACAGACCGGGCACTCTCGGTTCGGCTTCACTGCCTGTAACGCCTGGAGCCAAGAAACCTCGTACACGTTTTACACCTCGCCATTCGTCTCTTTCCTGCAGCCGGGTCCCCGCAGTGCCGGCACACCGCACACCTGCCGCGGTCGCCCCTCAGAGGCGGGGGCTCCGGGCGCTCCTCCTTGCGCCGGGCGCGGGGCGGGCCCGGGCCTGGCGCGGCCCGGAGGAGGCGGCTCCGGCCGTGGGAGCGGCTGTGTGCCCATGGCGGCCGCGGCGGAGGGGGCGGCCGCGGCGGAGGGGCCGCCCGAGGCCGGCGCGCAGCCCGCCAAGCGTAAGCGACCGGGGCCGGGGTGCAGGACTAGGGCCGGGGCCGGGGTCGCGGGGCTGGGCCCGGCCCGGGGAGGGCACGGCGCGGGCAGGAGCTCCCGGCGAGCCCGCGGCCTGGCGTGTGCCGGCCGGGCCGGGCCATACGCCTTCTGCCGCTGCTGCCCTGGGACCGGCCGGGTCCTGGCCCTGCCGCCGCTTCGGTCGGAGGGAGCCGCGGGCCTCGGGCAGCCTTCGTGTGCGAGTCGGCAAACGCTGCCGATGGGGGAAGGAGCGGCCTGCCGGGCTGGGGGAGAGGTGCCGGACTGCTCCGGGAAGGGACCGAATAAGGGCAGATTGTGGGAGAAACGGGTTTGAGAAGAAAGCGGCGATTGCCGCTTTCCGCAGGTGGGGATCTGTTGTAGCCCATATGAAGCGGATTGGGGCAGCGGTGCTTCTTTTCCGAATCGGTGACTAGAAATGAACAGCAGCGCCGTGCACAGCCACTCAGAAGTTCTCCCCAAACTGCTTTGCTGTCTAGGTACGAGGGGGACTAATGCTTGTCAGTGCTGTCAGACCGGGTGCCTCTCTCTTGAATGCTTTAGTATTATTTGGAACTTATGATGGTGCTACTTCGAAGAAGCTGCCGTAGTTTGTTACCCCTTAACAGTGTAACGTGTAGAGAAGGCAACTTACATGGAAAGCAGCTGTAGGCAGCCTGAAGGGCGGAAAAAGGGAACCGTGTAATCTTTCTGTTGTGCTTCCGGACTTGCTATAGTTTGTCTTAACCCTGTAATGTCTTTACCCTGAGTAGAGGATCCTGCTATTGAAACTGCAGAGGAAGCTAAGGAGCCAGCAGAAGCAGATATCAATGAACTCTGCAAAGACATGTTCAGCAAAATGGCCACTTACTTGACAGGTGAACTGACAGGTAAGGCACTGCAATACTGACCTGCAAGTTCTTCTTTCTTTTCACTTTGTTTGAAAGAAATCTCTTGGATAGTTTGTCTAATCTGTAACTATTTAGATTGTGTCTGGTAAGACTGGCAGTCCAAATTTGGCACATTGCTAGGCTGCTAAGAACACTGAGATTAGTTATAATAATTTAATGAAGTCCCAGAATAGTACAAATATTTTTCAGAACAATTCAGTGTGATATCAGCAGCTTAAAAAATATTTCTTTTTCATCTCAAAGAAGTTTGTACATGGAAATTCAATCTAACAAAAGCATCTAGGTTAAGACAGAGTAGGATGGAGGCACTACAGAGAGTGGAGCCATTTTTTTCTTGAGAGCGAGGATCATATATGTTTTCCAACATTTATGCTTTAGAATAAACTGCTGTGCAAAATTACCTGGAGTGAAGTAAACTGTTCACCAAGTTAGTGCATGTCCTAGGCTCTAATTTTGAAAGCACTCCTGATTTGCAGACTGGAGGAATATATGGTACAAATTACGAGTCTGGATTTGTGCTATCAGTTTTGTAAACATAAGTGTCTAACTGACAGAGTTAAGAATAGAAATGTGAGGACTTAGTAAATTTTTTTCAAAAAAATTTAGAAGTAAATTCATCAGTGCAGTTGATTTTTGGAATTCACAGAATGTCATATTTTTGTAGAGTGTATACTAATAACCTGTATTGCCATCTAAACTGTTGTGCTTTATGTGGCTGTTGGATTGAAATCCCTTGTCCTCTTGAAGAGTCTGCCTGCAATTCAAACCACATCACCTTTAATTAAAAGATACTTTATATTTTTTTAAGCCACCAGTGAAGACTACAAACTCTTGGAAAACATGAATAAGCTGACTAGCTTGAAGTACTTAGAAATGAAAGATATTGCTATAAACATCAGTAGAAATCTGAAGGATTTAAACCAAAAATGTAAGTACACCAAATAAGGTAGGGGTGTCATAAATGGCACACTTGTTTGGGAAATAAAGCATCTTAGAGTCAGAAGGTTCACACTGCATTAGTGCTGGAGGAAATAAAACTCACTGATATAGATGTGCTGCTATGCAATGCCAGTCTTGTATATTTCTTAACAGCTTTAGACTTTGTAGACTACTGTAAGAGAAAATACATCTGAATTTGTGTCCTGATTTACCCCAGACTCTGGATCTGATAGAAATAACACTTATTTTAATTCATGTTCTCTTGTTACTTGTGTTAGAGACTAGAAGTACTCTTAAACATTTAATATTTTCCTGGAACATGACTGTCAGAGTCACCACTTAATTTTGGGCTGGGAGAGGGCACCTTTTGAAGTGTCCTATCTGAAGAATGTAATAAGAAATTCTTGTGTTTCAAGTGTGAACTGTTTTTTGGAAGTGCATTACTGAGAACTGACAGATAAAATTTTTATGCTTTTTTAAGATGCTGATCTTCAGCCATATCTGGAACAGATAGACCTAATTGAGGAACAGGTTGCAGCTCTGGAGCAGGCAGCTTATAAACTGGATGCTTATTCCAAAAAACTTGGTAACTATCATCCTCTACTGTTAAGACCTAGCAGCATAGTGCCTTGCAAGAGGATTTAAAAAGAATGAAAGAAAGTAAACTCTGTTTTGTTTAACAAATCTGAGGTGCAGAGTTGCCTATGCTGCTTTTGAGTACAAATATTGACTGTGAAGTGATAAGCATTGGGGAAAGATTCATGTAATGAGTTATGTTATGGTGGACTAGTACAGGTGTTGTTAAACTACTGCTTATTAGCGAGGCTTGATTTCTTTTTTATGGTTCACACTGACTTATAATTTAAAGACTGATGTTTAACCTTGCAAATTGAGAGATTCATAATGTTCCACCAGCCACCCAAGCCCTCTTGGCTTAAATTAATATTATTGTCTGTCTTAAGCACCGGGTTCTTAAAAAAATTATTGTACAATTATATCTGCCTAAGTACATTAGAAAATCAGGATCCTGAATGATACAGTAAATTAGCTTACAGGTTGCAAAGCTTTTACCTACCCAGTACTAAAATATTATTTTTCCTTCTGCAGAAGCCAAGTACAAAAAACTGGAGAAACGATGAAATTGCAATAGTCTGTGAGCTGGAGTTGGGCAGTGAATCCAACTGATCTCCGGGTTTGCACAGCAGCAATTCTGTATTTTGACAAGGATTTGGTTTACAGCTGACATGGAGACTGGGACTTTTTCCAGCTATTGGTAGGCTGTATTCAGGCCTAAGGCTGAATAATATTTTCCTCTTCTCAAGGGGTACTGTTCCCTCAGTTCTGCCGTGAAAAGTAGAAGCTTGTCTTTAACTCATGTCGATATTGGCTATATGTGTGTTAGTCCTGTTTTCCACATGAAATACTTGGTCTAGGGAAAGTCTTCCATAATCTGTAAAGACATTTTCCCTTAGTAGCAGCAGGACCTAAACTTCAATTTTTCCTTCATTGAGTTCTGTGTTGGGAAGATACCTGGAACTTTGGACTTAATGGGTGGGGTATTGAAAACACTTCATTTTATCTGTTTGAAATAGACAAATTTACAATAAACTTGCTGTATATATTTCTCTGGAATCTCAAGTTCTGTTGGAAAGATTACACAAGCTGGTTTTTTTTATTTTTTTAAGAAGTCTGTTAATAAAGACAAACTCCTTCAAGCTACTAGGGATGATAGAAGAGAACATGTTTTAAACCTCTGCATCAAGTATTCCTGCCATTATATTCTTTGACTGTCTGGACCTCTGGTGAAGTTTCAAGACATACTACTTTTATCACATGCTCAGTTGACTTAGCAGACTCTTTCACTATTTCACCAGTGAATTTTGATCCTAGTAGTTTTTGAAGTGGCATGCCTACCACAAAAATCTACTTCTCTACTAGGTTTACAATGTTCCAAATTGCTGATTTGGCAGAGCCCTTTGTACTGAACAGTTATTTGTCCACTCCAAGGATATTTTTTCTGTACCTCTTGACCTTAAGTAGTACAAGCTGGCTTTTGAGTGAGTTGTAGTTGAGGACAGTACCAGTACTGTATGTAGGAAGAACGTGGTTCAAACTTAGAGTGTTTAAAAGAATGTCTAGTCAGGTGCCAGTGAGATAAAGATCATCATGCTGTCAGGCTGTGTACAGCCACTGTTTAGTCAGGAGGGACACTTTTCCTTAGTGCTCTTTTTGAAGAGTGAAGCAGATGACTTTTGAGTGCCTTCACCATCACTTTGAAAATCCTGGGTTTGATATAGAAATAGCATTTCTGTGCTCATGGTGTTACCTGGCAGGACTGCAGGGGGACACAGGGAGGAGCCATGCCAGCAGGGAAAACCACAGATCCCACAGGAAAGGCACAGGACAGACCATGGGCTGTTCCTCTTGAAAAAGTTGCTTTTCTGTGTATACAAAATACAGTGCCATTTTAAAACTACAAGGATGAAAACCTGCAGGGGCTCTGAAGATGGAAATCCTTCTAGCCATGCAATGTCACCAAGTGCTCAGTGTTTTCAGGTAAGAAAGGTAAGAAATAGTTCCTTCACAAACTCTTTGAGTATTCCACCTCCAGAAAGCAAAAATGAGAGAAGGGGTTTGTCCCACAATAGATTTTCTTTTTGAGAGGAAATTTTAGAGATGGACTTCCTGGCTAGCTGGAAGACTGTGAGAGTGGCATCCTAGTTAGCCTGAGAGCTGACAGCTGTGTTCCCAGTTGTCTCTGAGTAGCTGTTACCCTCCCTGCCCGAGGGGCTGCTGGTAGAATCCACATCCTGTCAAGGATGGCAGGTCCTTGGAGAGTAGCACCATGGAAGAGACACAGGTGTGTGTGAACAGCATTGTACTGGTGAAATGTATAGTCAGTCCAAAAGCAAAGCCACAACTTGGTTACTGCTCAGATGTTTCACCTGAAGAATCCCTGAGAAATTCCAGAGGCGATACAGAAGGAGATTAAATCTCAGAGTTCTTTGCAGCATTTTCTGGTGGAAAATAGAGTAAGAAAATAGTGGGTTCTTAAAAGGAAGAACAAGAGGAAAACAGAAAAGGGAGGGCTGATGAATGAGAGTCCAGGGGCAAGGTGAGTCATCAAAATGGTCTGAAAACCACTTTGGAGCTGAAGCAGTTCTTGGTGGTTTGGACTGCAACTGCAAACCAGGGAATGAAAAGCAGCCTAGCAAATAACAGCTCTTTTAGAAGAAGCAGAAGAGTTCCAGAGAATACTTTTTTTCCAGCATCTGAAGACAGTTTTGCCCAGCTGCTCTAACAGGTTATTCTGAAGTCATTCAAGTTTCAGAGCAGTACTTTGTGGAGATATCCAGTGTGCAGAATCAGGGCACATGGCTTTAGCCCTCCTCTAATCCCAAAGCCCACTTCATACCATGGTGGACTCTCCAGGCACTAAAGCTGTTTTGCTGATCTGCAGTGGCTGCCTCCTTGACTTCTCAGCATGAAGAAAGATAACTGGAATAAGAAAACTGCTCCCTAATTTGCTTTGGCTATTTTAGTCATGGCACAGCTAAAGAGGAAGTACAGTGCTTTCTTCTTTTTATATGGTAAAGAGAATTTATTTCTGTGATTCTGTGGAATTTGTGGCTTTTTGTCTTTGCAATATCATGCTAGTAATGCATAGTATTTCTAGCTTATTAATCTTTGAAAGGAAGCAAGTTCTGTCTGTTTCACATAAACAGTTAATGGCATTGTGGTAATTTTACAGTTCTGTCTTTTCCCACATAATACAGATTCAGCTCTCTCTCTTCATGTAATCATATATTATACATTGATGGGAATGTGATCAAGGCAGGAAATGCCGGCCTTGATCTGTACACATATGCTTGGCAAGTCATATAAACTCTATTTATTTTTTTTCCTGATTGTAACATTGCTGTAGTGATCTTTATGTACTTCATAAAATATTGGGAAGATGCAAGCTGGCATTCATTTAGGAAAAGGTACTGGGGGGGATCCTGGTACTATTTAATTTGTCCTTTTTCTCCCCAATGAACAGCTCTGTAACCACAGATGGGGTCCTGATGGGTCCCATAGGGTCAGTGCAGCTTTATTCCAAATCGGGAATGGACATTTATAGATCATTAACCAGCTCATTCTTCAAGCCACAGTACATTTCATATGAGTGAAATGAAGCAGTCAAATGTGTACAGGACTTGAAAGAGAATTTGGAGTATAAGCTTTGTGGACACTGGTTTTTCACTAAAAGATGTTCTGGAGTATCAGAAAAACAACAATTCAGTATACTTCTTTATTTTGCAGTATAAATTGTAATTTCACAAACCCTCATTGTAATCACAGAGGATAACCCGTCTGCCCAGTCATTGACAAATTATCCCCACAGTAGACAGTAAGTATTAGGGAAAGAATTCTATAGATGATCATTATCTACCACAAAAAAACTCTTGTTTTAGGTTTGTCTTTACAAATAGATTACAAACAAACTGAAAGTACAGAGAGAAGTATTTCAAGCAGAGTTTGTAAAAACCCTGGAGTACAAGCATCTATTCCTGCTGGAACCCCTCAGGTGATAGGGGCAGCAGCAGCAGGGCTCTCAGAGAACTAGTGCAGACAGCCTGGCATGTCAGGAGCCAGACAGGAAGCACCACAGGGTGAGGTAGATGCAGAGGAGAATCTGTGTAATTTTGCACAGGGTTCTGTGTCCTTCCCTGTGTGATTGCCTATTCTGTTAAGAGCTGGCTGTGGTGATTGTAAAAGCACCATACAATTTTCTTTTCTAAGCACTCTTCTCTCCATTAATGGTCTGAGTGTTTCATTCTCAACAGACTGGGGAATGACTGTCATTCCTGTCTCAGAGCACTCCTGAGTTTGGGAGCTGGAAATTCTTCACTTGGCTAACGTGGAACAAAACAGACCTCATAGTCTCGGGGTGCATTTGCCAGACTGGTGATTACTGGGCTGATGTCAATGTCTTTGTAATCCACAACAGGCTTCAAATTAAAGTTTTGCAGGATGGATGTTAAAAATATGAATATCTCCATCCGGGCCAGACCTTCTCCTGCACAGATGCGTTTTCCTACAACCAAAAAAAAAAGAGGTCATAGTGGAGTATTTTGCTGATAACTGATTTTAGTCACATGAAAATTCAGACATCTCAGAATGCACAGGCAGCACTGCAGTATTTTGGGGAAGCATGAATGAAACTAGGAACTAAAGGTCTAGAACAATGAGAGTACTCAGTGTGTGAAGGTAGTTTGAAGGCTTTGGTTGCTCAAGTTCTGCTGCTGTTTGATGGTTTGAGAGATAAGTTGTGTGGTTGAGTCCCACTTCATACACATCTTGTAGAAGGCATTGGAGGAGTTCTTGTGTTTGCTAGAAAAGGAAGTCAGCTGGAACTGTAGTGCAGGGGTTAGAGCTTCCCAGAAGTGACTCTAGCAGATGTCGCCTGACATCGTTGTACAGATAATGGTGACAGAGCCATGAAACCTTCAGAGAGATTTCAGGACAGGATGGTCTCGGATCTGAAATAGCAAGAGGTCTTACCTGTAGAAAATGGCATGAAGTAGTCACTCTTTTTAAAGGTACCATTTGCATTCAAGAAATGTCCTGGGTCAAATTTTTCTGGATTTGGAAATTCCTTGCTATCATGTAGGACAGAACTCAGCATAGGGAATATCAGAGTGTCCTGAATTAACAAAAACGAAAGGTACAATGGAGATATGTTAAAGCAAGGAGGCCCTAAGAAGTTCCCAGAGCTAAACAGAAGGGTAGTCAAAATGTAACCAGTTTTAAATGAACATTTAATGCACAAAAATATATGCCATTGGTATGGCAAAGATGTTTTTTAGGGAATTTTCATAAAAAGTCTGTTTAGAGTATTTAATATTGTATCGAAATAAATTACAGCGTACACTGATGTGAAAAAAAACCCGCCAGAAATATCTCCCTCTTCATACAGAGGATGCAAAAGTATTTTCTTATTTTTTTTTTTCTAATACAAGGGATTGGACTCAATAACTTCCAGAATCCCCTTACAAAGAAAAATAAAATTCAGTATTGCATTTCAATGCTTTTGAAAATAAATACCAAGAACTAAACTCAATTGTTGTTTTCAAGAGATTATGACCTTTCTCAGACACAGTGTAACAGACCTTGGGGATAAAATAGTCTCTGAACTCGGTGTCTCTGATTACAGCATGTGGGACATTAAGGGGAAGGAAATCAATGTATCTCTGGATTTCGTGGATCACAGCATCTGTAAAGGGCATCTGGCTCCGATCCGACATGCGAGGGCTTCGCTCTCGGCCAATCACAGAATCAATCTCCTTTTGCATTTTCTCTGTTGAGAAATCAGTAAATGTTGAATGAACAAGTCCCCCATCTGTTTGCCTGAACCTCTCTCCATATATACAACAAAATATGCTTTTAGCACTCCAGGAATATATGATTATACTTAGTACTAACATCTGCTTCTTGTGAAGACAACTAAGACTTACACACATTTCCACACTGCTAAAACATACTTCCTTAGTCAGGGGAGTATTGCCACATGTGGTAGTGACAGGAATTGTCCAAACTGATCCCACAACCTATCAAAAAGTTTTAAACTATTTACTTCCATTACCTACTATTTCCGGGTATTTATGAAGAATCAGAATTGCAAATCTCATTGTGATGCTTGTGGTCCCTGTTCCTGCTAGGAATAAGTCGAGTGTGGTTCTGCTCAAGGTCTCAACGGTGAATTTTGAGTCAGCATTCCCTTTCTCCTGTAGGAAGATTTGGCAGAAGGTTTTGAATGACAAACCCAAGAAATTTGCTTAAAAAGAAAAATCCTGTACCCATAATGTAGGTTTATCTTTAGAAAGATAAATGTTCTTTCAAAAATATGACACTCACTCTCCAGAACACCAGCATTTATAGTAGGTTAACTAAGTAATATTATGATATGGAAGGAGCATTGAATTATATTAATCAGTTTGGTCTTCAGCTTTCATCACTTGGCTCATGCTGTTAATTCTGTGTTTAAAAATCCTTGATAAAAAATTGAGAGGATAAAATGAAGTCAATGTGTCATGAAGAGCAAGTTCCCCTCTGTATTTGCAAAAAACCCAGCCCCCCATCACAAGTAAAAAGAAAAGATCTGATTCAAGTAGTGATTTCCATATAATCTAATACATCTCTACTCTTACAGTACCTGTTCCATTTTATTAAGAAAAGCATCAATAAAATCTCGAGGACAAGTGGGATCCAGGGTTTTCTGGTGCTCCATTACGATACCTGTTGTAAATTTATCAACTTTTTCAATGTTTTTTATCAGTTGTTGATGAGGTCCAGGTAGATAATCCATGACAGTTGGGAAGAAATTATATAGCTGTAAAAATAAAGGGATGAAAAAGCACATTCTGATTACTGTGAATAAACTAAAATGTTCCCCTGATTGTAACTGTGAAAATGGGGCAGTTAAACTGTTTTGGAACAGTAGGTCTTTCTTACTCAGGATTTTATGGCCATTTACTTTATCACTACATTCAGGGATTTGAATATTACAATAACTAACAAATATATTAAATAAAACCGGACACACCTGTGCATGTATAGAGGTTTGGAGCTTGTTGTTTTCCTCTATCCAATCAATTAAATTTAGAAAATTCTTGTCCTCATAGTCAAACCGATCCCCAAAGATGATGGAGCAGATGATGTTGGAAACAGCGTGGATTAGGAAACCACTGGGGTTCAGAGGTTTCTCTGCAACAACCACCAAAAAAAGGTATCTTGCTTTCAGTATTTCATGGATCAACCCCTCCTCTGACCCTACAAAGTTTCACATTCTCTGGAGTTCCAGAATTTTGCACTCCTTTGAAAGGACAGTGAAGGGTCTACCAACTTATTCTTGAAGTGAACTAATTTCACTCTTACAGTGGTTTATCTCTTCTGTCTTGTTCTCAGCAGAACACTGGTCTGAGTGCCTTAGTTGCTCTTCAGCTAGCACATGCCTGTCTGTCTTACAGACTGTTTATTAGAAACAGCCTAACATTCCCACAAAATCCCAATGAAACCATGGGGACTTTGCCTGAACCATGTCTTCAGGTTATTGCACTATCCTTATTAACTTTACTAGTGTAACCTCAGTTACATAACCCTCCCCTTGGCATTCAAATGCCTGTGATCAAAGTCTACTTTTGATAGCACAGCTGCATGACTCCTGTGCAGAGAATTATGGTGTAAGCAAAAGCAAGATTAGACCCAAGAAAAAAAGGAAAGCTAATTACAGTGATAGGGTGCATCTCAAGGGTTCAAGATAAGAAACAATAACATAAGTATAAAATCCTGGAGGAAAACCACAGAATGAGAAAATGTCAACTTAGTAGCAGACTATTCCAAGGAGCAATAGCACCAGTTCTCTGCCTGACTGGTGACTCCATGCCTATTGAAGACAGTGGATATTTCAGAGGTGGTGAGTATATTAATGCTGAATGTAAAAGACACTAGTCATAGCTATTTATTATTTGCATCAGGGTAAATAATGGATTTATACTTTTTGGTTGTATATATCTTGCTTGTAAAACATTTTAATACACAGTAAATGTTGATGCAACAAGGTGAGCCAGAGTTAGAGGCTTGCATAAGGGCATAAGAAATATAGTATTACTGTGATAGTCAAAAGATTAAAGCAATGCAGGTGAGAGTGTTTTCTCTGATTTATAAAACAAGTGTTTATCTGAGAAGCCAGATTGAATTGTCTAGTGGCTCATGGAAAACAGTGATGCTTAAGATCTTTTAGATCTATCTCCTTTTCCCCCTTGCAGAATAGGCACACATTGAGAGCTGGCAATGAAAAGGGTGGCTGGTACTGTGCCACCCTCAGGGGACACATTAGAAGTAACACTGACTTATGTATTACCAGAAAACACATTTACAGGTTGAAGCCAAGTGGGTAACGTTATACCCTGCCCTCAGAAGCAGCTTATATACCTGTTCCCATTGGACAGCCCCATCAATACTGGGATCTATTGTCTTGTGTTCAGATGGATCCAACCCCAAATATCTGAAAATGAGTTCTCTGGTCACCTACTTCTTCAAGATCTGTTTACACAGAGTTGGAGGAGACAGGGTGAAGAAGAGCATACTTGGTTACCTGACAGCATCCAGCACTGTCTCCATGGCTGAATTCCATCAAAGCCTTGGCTCTGTGGCAAAGCCATTCCTTTTGCCCCTTCCTGTCTTGTTCCTCAAGCAGAATAGGTTAAAAGGTGCTTTACAAGCCTCTCTCTCCTACTTTTATCCTCCATATTGTCACAGTACCTTTGATTGATAATTTTGCCTACAGAAGCAGGGAGCAGAAACAGCAGGCATACACCCACTCCTTAGGTCATAGATTTTGTGAAGCCGTCCTACATCCCTCATTGTCTAATTGCAGATATGCAGTATCTCAACAGGCAGAAAGTCCTTATCATACCATGTGTGTTCTTGAGCCTCTCCACCAGAAAATGAGCTTCCTCTTGGATTCGCTCCTCAATGCCCTTTTTCCCCATCCCAAAATCGCGCAGGGTGGTGAGTGCAAATCGTCTCAGCTGCTTCCAGGTCTCCCCATTGCTGGTCACAATGCCTGACACGGGGAGGAAAAATAGACCTTCATGATGAAACAAGTTTTTTTCTCTTTAATGGGAACTACACAGTAGGTACTCAGCATGCAAAGACACCTCTCTGAGGAGTTGCACTGCAATTGCTATCTGCCCCAAACCATAAGTCCTCTGCAATTCTGAAGGTGACAAATTTGATCCATCTGTCACAGCCCTTGAATTAAACTGACTTTATTCCCAGGATAAGAAAAACTATGTTACAAAGTAAGTAAGAAGTAACAATGAATTGGTCTTGGCCACAAGGCCTTTGCACTGACATAACCACTCAAATGTTCTGCTGTGCACCTGCATAGAGCATTTAATTATTGACAATACCAATGGTACTGCACTGTGTATGTAATATCATGGAATATGTGCTATAAATGCCATACCAGGGACTGACCTGGTGAATAATCTCATGAACTAATCTGGACTGTGGCCCTTTCTGGGTCGGCCTATATTATCTTATCTTGTTGTGCTGTGGACTTTCCTTTTGCTGGTTCCTTAGCTGTGTCTATATTCAGAATATTTTCAGAAATGAGAGAATGAATGTAAGACCTTAGAGGCACATTTAATGTACAAAATTTTAGCCAAGCTTGAAGCATGCTGGAAATAAAAAGGCACTCAGTGAAGCCATCCTGGGACTTTAGATAGTTCTCCAGGGGACCAGTTTGCTCAAGGTTCCAAGTAATGAGCTGGGTTTTTTGCCTTTAATTGCTAATTTGTCTGCATAAAAGTAGTAAATTAAATCTACCATGCCCCTCTGCTCTGCCCTCTCAGCTGTGTTTCTGAAGCACTGAAAGTGTCTGTTTTGCATGCTGGCTTTACCAAGTACATACCTGTGCCTCAGAACAGTTTTTGAATCAGTGGTAGGATGCCTCTTCCACTGAAGTCATCTCCTTGATCAACCAGAGCTTCTTTTACCACATCATAGCCATACAGCACCACAACCTTTTGTGGGCCCAAATGTACTGTGAAGACAGGACCATACTTCTCACTGAGCTGCAGGAAAGGTGAGCACAAAGAGCAACATGACAACACCAATGATAATCTTGTGACATTTGTAGCAAAGAGGTCTGAGAGGTGATGTGTCATTCTCCCAATCAATGTCATGTCTCAAACACTGTTGAGACATGACATTGATTAACAACAGTGCAGTGATCTTTCAATTATGAGTTACAGACGAGGGATGAGGGAATGATACAAGAAATAAGGAATATGAATGGAAATGGCAAGTATCTAGTCCAAATCTGAGAAAAATAGCCCTTCACAGGGCAGGCAAAACATTTAGAATACCTTTGTGCAGGGCATAGTGGATAACAATTTACATGAGCTCTAAAATCAGTTACATAAACAACATGGAAGCAAATGCCTGAAGGATTTTTGACCACAAACAGCGAAACTGCCTCTCAAAGGGGTATTTTTGTCAGATGGGTGACATCAGTCAGGGGAGGGAATGGACAGCACAATTCACCTCCAAACGTTTTTACTTCAATTTCTGCACTTGCTACTTCCACTCCCAGGAGATCCTACATATCTGCTAGGGAGCAGAGGCAGCAAAATGGAGCAGGGCTCTCCCCCCAAAAATGGCCAGGCTGTGTTGCCAGCGTGGTGAGGAATTAAGCACAGGAAGATTATCTGCAACAGCATCAATGCCTTAATTGCAAATCCACTGCAAATTGTTGTACTGTGGTACAGATTGTGAGGTCAGCACATAACTCATTTCACTATGGTCATTGCCAATATATAGACTGACTTATCATATATGAACATATATATTTATATATACACACCTGTAATATATAGGCTTAAAAATACAATAGATTACTGTGATTATATATAGACTTAATAAGCATGTGTATCTGGGAAACCTTTTGTTTCTGTTTAACATTTGGTCAATGCAAATTAAACTTGTGAATTTAGCTGAGAACTGTGGGATTGGACTTTGTTTTATATGCCATGAAGAAAACATAGGAAAGAATAAGACAGTCCCTTACCTCTTTTAAGCTTCCAGGCAAATTCCATGGGTTTATCTGGAGCAGGTTTCCAACAATGGGGAGTGCAATGGGACCAGGAGGCTCCTTCCCTTTTTGAGATCTGCTTCTCCATGTGGCAAAGAGGAGGCACGAGATGCAAACCAGCAACAAAATAGTGGTCACTCCCAGGGCCTCCATGGTGGGCTGAGGAAGTCAAGTGTCAGAAAAGCCCAGTGCTGGACCTGTAAATCCATGCTTATATATATGCTGTGGTACCAAATCCTGCGGCTGCAATTAGCCAATAGTGCCTTGCCATTCCTGTTGAGATATGAGTTTACTTATTAATCTGGTAATGATAAGAATGAATGTTACTAAAGCTGACTTTGTTAGTTATGTAATAGTCCTAAAGCAATGGGAATTAAGACCTGGCAAAGCCCTGGTAGAGAACAAAGTAAACAAGGGATGAGAACATGTAGAGAGCAGAAGATGGTAAAAACTGTAGCTTAAGAAGGGAAATGGAAGTATTAGTGGAATAAAAAAAAGAAATAGCTTTCATAGCATTCATTACCTTAGGAAGTCTCTGTGCAATAAGAAAGGGGCATGACATTACTCTTAAAGTAATCCTGAATGAGAATCTGCAGAAGAAGATTGGTTATCTCTGTTTATCTCTGATCTATGAAACTGGTGCTCAAAGACAATGCAGTGGATAATACTGGCAAAAAACATGAAGTGTGTAAAACACTTACAGAATACTCTGAGTTGGAAGGGACCAACAGGGATCATCCAGTCCAACTCTAAAGTGAATGGCCCCTACAGGGATCAAACACACCTTGACATTATTAGCACCATGCTCTATCAGTTCAGTGAGGCTCCGTATGAGTTCTCTGTAGCAAAATCTCTCTGGACAGTTCTGTTTGAAACAGCTTTCTCTCTTTTATTCTCCCTCCTCCCCCTCCCGCCTTCCCCTCTGTTTTTGAGAAGCTTTATGTGTTACAGCCCCAGGCCCCTAGCAGGGGATGCTCCCTGGGTAGGTCTTGCCCCACAGGAGAGCCCTCACCTATCACCCCCATAGGCTCTGGTCACACTCTCACCATTCTCCTGCTCTTTGCTTCAGACACCTGGGTCTCTGTACAGCACCTACTGACAATGGATGAGCCTTAAATTGGTGTCAGTGTCCTCTGACAGTGCCTGTTTCTCTTTACACACCAGGGAGGGAGCTCATCCAGATTTTCAGACAACTAATGTCAGATTAGGGGTATCCCACCCAAACAACCATGTCAGGGACCATTTCAGTCAGAGAAACAGGTTCTTCTACCTGTCAAGACTCTTCCCGTCACATTCCATCATTTGACACAGAGTGAAAATGATACTGACCCCTTAGATGCTGTGATGATGGAAGGATGTGTTAAAATGTATATCATCTTATATATCCTATATGTGAGAATATATATCCTATACATAAGAATATATATGTATCTTAATCTCTTCTTTGTCTCCCTGATAATGGTAATGGAAAGCAATTTGTCTTCCTGCATGAACTCATTGGCTTAGAACTTGAGTCCATATTTGTTCAATCAGTTTTTGAATGTTCCTGTGCACAAAAATGGCCAGACATACTATAAACACCACACCTTGTTCTCTACTGAGTTGTCAGAATGGGGTTTAAGGATAGGTAGATTTTATCTTTAGCCCAGTTAGCTGAGTACTAGCAGATTCTGCGACAGTGAGGAAAGAAACATATCCAGCTTAAATTTAGATATTAAAAAGGTAGGTGTACAAATGAGCTGAAGGTCTCACCTGTTAGTGGGGAAATACTGATACTTCCAGAGAACAGGAAATCTCACTTTGCTTATGAGCTTGTTTTTGTGAAACGAGCCAGTCACTGAAGAAGTTTGTTTTTCCTGACTACAAAGGAAGGCTCTGGAGACATACAGATTTACATGTCTGTCTGCTGAGGATCTGTTTTGAGGCACATGATTCTAATTCCCTGATCATTTCTCCTGGTCCTAATGGATTTTTTTTATCAGCAACAAATTCTACAAATTCTAGTACAATGGGCATTACTCTGAATACTGCACACCAGGGTATTTAAAACCAGAAGTGGGAAGATGAGTGAAATTGAAAGGAACCTTCTAAGCTTTGGAGGGATGATTATATTGCTGAAAACAGTTAGTTTTATTGTCTTCAAGGAAAAACTCCTGTTGTTTGCTTTTTCTTTTCCTTTGCTTTTGTAGATAAAGTGCCTTGCATTGCTCTATTGGCAGCCCTGAGGGTGAGCAACTGCTGTGAAGCCTAATGCACTGGAAAAGCAGAGCTTTGCTTGCAGCATCATCCCACATCCGGACATGGCTTTTTTATTATTTATCTAATTACTCACATAATCCCCAAAGGGTCAAAATGGTGTTGGGAATAAAGCCAGAGCTGCTTGGAGGGATCCACGAGTTTAACTGGGAAGAGATTTAACTGCCAAAGGTCTTGGGTCACCTCTGATGACAGAAAGACAGGGATTATTTGAGTGTGAAAGGCTGTTTGAGTATGAAGGCTTTATCTGGGTCTGAAAGACCCATCCTGATATAGTTCACATTCAGAGGAAGCACCTAAGAGACTCTGTTTTCTTCCAAGCTTTCTTCCCAGTGTGGTAGGAAAGCAGATGCTGGGGATAGCTCAGGAATCACTGGTGACTGAAGCAGTCTGAAAGAGTATTCCTCTGTGGCAGCCAGGTTTGGGTTTGTTCTGTTCCTTGGGAACTGATTTTTAAGCTAGTGTTGGAGTTGGACAGAATTCTGGGCTGCCTTGACTATTGTCATGATCCAGCACACCCATCCCTGGGTTCCTATGTCCTTACATTAAAATGTGACATTTCACTAAACATTTCCATTGAGATGGTTTAACCCCAGCTGACAACTGAGCTGCACACACACACAGCCTCTTACTCACTCTCTCTCTCCAGCAGGATAGAGGGGAAGAGAACTGGAACACTGCAAGTGAGAAAACTCATGGGGTGACTTAAGAACATTTTAATTATTGAAGTAAATGATGATGATGATGATGATGATGATGATGATGATGATAAGGAGGAGGAGGAAATTATAAAAATGAAACTCAGGAAAGACAAGTAATGGAAACTAAAAACAATTGCTCACTACCAACCAGCTGATGCCCAGCCACTGCTGAGTAGTGGCCCCCAGCCTATTTCTCTCTAGTTTATGCATTGAGCATGTTGCCATATGTATGAAATATCCCTTTGAACTGGGATCAGTTGGGATCAGCTGTCCCAGCTCTGTCTCCTCACAACCTCTTGTGCTACCCCAACGTATTTGCTGACTGGGTGGTAGAAGAAATTAGAAAATACCTTGAGGCTGCGCAAGCACTGCTCAAAAATCACTAAATCATGCCTGAATTATTAATACTATTTCCAGCACAAATCCAATACATGGTCCCATATCAGCTACTATAGAGAAAATTAACTCTACCCATCCAAAACCAGGACAGCAAGTTGGCAGAATAGCCTGTGGAAATCATCTTGCTCATTCTGCTGTGAATAGCAACACCTTAGCTACTAAACTTTTACTGCTGTCAGACAGAACTTTCCTTGGTGCTATGCAGAAAATACAATATCAACCTCTGCCTTATTTCTGGCAGTAATTTGACAAAGAATCTGCCATGGTCAGCAAGTATTAAGGTTCAGTGATATCTTCAGTATTCAATAATTTATGTAACACCCGTATTTGTAAAATGCTACACATTGTACTACAGATAAGATACAAGCCACTTCATTTGTTTTCAGATCACAGAAGTTACATTTGACTAGCTAGATCAAAAAACTTGGTGAAATATTTATGTATGAACTCACTAGACCCAAAACATAACACAACTGAAAAAGGAAGAAGTCAATGAAGTTCATTGCAACGAAGTCAATGAAGTTCATTGCAATGAAGTCAATGAAGTTCATCGCAGTGAAGTCAATGAAGTCATTTGCAGTACTTGGCAAACTGCTTTTTAGTAATCAGAAGCTTCAAAAATGAAGCTCATAACAGCCTTTCCACTGGACCTGTACTGTGACTCCACCAACAGCAATGGTGGAGTTGCTGCTATACCCCATCATCTCTCAGTAAGGTGCTTAGTTCCAGACTATGGTCAGCATAAAGAAAGAACAGGCATTTCCCCAAGTCAGGAAAAAAAAAAGAGTCAGGAAATGGGAAAAGTCAGTCAGGTGCTATACACGGTAAAAAGAGGCGCAGGAATGAAGGCTGCCAGTTTCAAAGAGGGTGTCTGAACTTGGCAGATTTCCTGAGAGTGCTGCTCTCAGCTACCTGCATGAGCAGCTGAGTTCCTCCTGACCAGCTGCAGAGCCTCTGTGGGGTACAGCAGGTCATGCAAAAGGTCTGTGCTCTGGGAGACAAAGCAGCAAAGGGGCAGCATTGTCACTGTCCCCAGCTGTGACACCGTCACGGGCACAGTGCCCACCGTGCCTTTCCAAAGGCTGACCAGGGATCTGCAGCACAAACAAGGTTTGAGCACAGAACTGCTCAAACTCGAGCTAGGGCCTTAACCAGAGGCATTCTGCAACTTTAGAAAATTACTTATCATCATCACAAAAAAATCATGGAAGCATATAATTTGCTGGTAGTCTGTATGCTCTGAAAACAGTGCATATCATAAAGAAAAATGATAACAGAAAAACTCACCAAATAATTTAAAATTCAAGAAGAATTCAGTAATCATCAAGTAACAAAACCTTTGTTAACATTTCATGATATCAAATAACTACAGTCATAAGGGAAACAGAGGATAAATCAGGCATTTAAAACACAAAAAAAGCAGTAACTGATGCTGACACCAAGTGATAAAATGTATGCCTTCATCGTGCCTTTCAGTCCTGCCAGAGACAGGTGCACAGAGGTAACAGAGTGGCTTGAGAACATGAAGGAGGAAATGAAAGAAACACAACAACCCCAAGAAGTGACCCCAACAAAGGGCCCACACAAAGACTCTCCCACTTCAGGTGTCATCCCTGTCTCCCTCAAGTGTGGAAGTGGCTGTTCCCCCCCTCCCAACCAGTGCCTTCTCCTACACATATCACCTCCTCTGGAAATGCTGATGACTAATGCATTCTCTCTCACATAAATGAAACATGCCCCCTGTCCTTTTTCATTTTTTTGGAATAGTGAAAGAGGACCACATTAACTATGATTTAT